AGAAATCCGAGTTGAAAAATAAAAAGTTTAAGGTACGCTAATAACGATAGCGGTTGTGATGGAAGCTGCATAAGCCGCCCCCCGTGGGGACTGAATCTGCCCTAGTACTGCACATTTTTAGAAGTGAGAAAATATTCTAGCAGTAAAACTAGCCTAGGACTGTTGACAACACCAAAAGTTACGTATGTGTTTAACACAGGAAAGTCGATATGTACAATTTATTTTAGGATTATGTCTTTTTTCCAAAATTTACACATAAAAACTAGGGTGTATAAACAAAAAGGACAAATTTATGGAGATTAGGACGATTTGTGTTTGAGCGAAGACACGTACCTAGCGCGACACGGTAAGCACACACCCAAAAAAACTCTAAGACGACACACAGTCAAAGAGCCAGAATCCATGAACATTAACAAAAGAAAAGAATGAGTTAGTCATAAAACGGAGAGAACAAGAACTTCGGTTAGTGGCATACTCGACAAGGGAGTGCTCAAGCCATCTAAAGAACGCATGTACTAGACATCGCGAAGTACAGCGTAAAACGCGATCAGGCCTCGACTGTCCTAGGTGCCTACGAGGGAGGACGTCCGGCGATTAAGAGTCCTGTGAGTGAGAGTCATGTACGGTAAGCAAACCAGAATTTTACGGCATTGTCGCTATTTACGATAGCGTTTATACTTTAGGCAAATGATTAATGATACATTCCATTCGTACGCAGGTAGACGTCAATTGTGGTCTTGGGTATACTCTATTGGAAAGTATCTTTACGAAGACAAGACCATGTGTTTGTGCCTGCCACGCGCTCCCCACACCAAGACAATATGATACTTGCTTATGTCGAGATATATCCAATACAGACATTACTTTCATCTATAGCATCTCACATCCACCTCCTACCCTCACTGTTCGATGCTCCAATCGATATCGGACGTAAGCTAGTCACGTGATGCCTTGGTTCACGATCTGTCAACTTGACAAGTTAGCCCCCACTCGGGGTAGACAGTAATTAATGCTCCTCTCGACCCTAGACATAGCTATACCGTATTTGCGCTCACTATATATTGGGCCTGCGCATACCTCCCTCTTCGCTGGTAGGTCTAGCTCCTGACAAGAATCAGGTACTAGCTCTCTGTGCGTTACAGAAGCGACACTAGTGGACTACAGGCGTTTTACGCATATACTTCACAGTTACTTGCGATTACTTTGCGCTTCTACTACTCATAGTGAGTACATGGTAGTCACCCCCGCGCAGTAACCACTAACGAATCTGACACTAAGCTCTGTAGACTAACTCGATATACTACTTATTTAATGTTCATGCTTAAGCCACTCGCAGTCACCCTCAGAAGCGTTTTTGTTGGGTAGTGTGCTTGTGTCGCTAGGCACGTGTCTTTCGTCAAGAGTGTCCCAGAGACACCCACAAATTTGCCTTTTCTGTTATACACACACTAAGTCCTTTCATGATATCAATATACCTTCGGTAACGGCGATGACTTTTTTATATTTTAGGGGTACTTTTTACATATTAATACTCTATTAAGTGTGAATCCTTTTGCGGATCATGAAATACAAGTGTGAATCCTTCTGTGTGCATGTGTGTATTATGAGACTGTTCTGAACCCATATACATCAAGCGCTCTGACAAATGAAAGGGAGCGACTTTGGATTGTTTTGAATACTGGACATTCAGGAAGGGAAAGTAGTTACGTGTGGTTGAATATTGGAATCTAGCTGTTAGCATGATCCAAGAAAAGGAAAAAAGAGAGAAAAAGAGAGTTTCAGTACAGTTCAACATTTACTGTGCTATCATTCCAGTTCTGAGGTCTTTACACTGGCTTCTTGTCAAAATACATAATGGTTTATAAAGCGCTGAATGGCTTAGGGCGGAAATATATTCCTGATCTCCTGCTACTTTACTTAACATGGAGAAGCATCGTTCAGTAATTATGCTCCCAATATCGGGAAAAATCTCCCATAATCCTGCAGGTTTTAATTGCACTGTAACTGTTATTTGTGTATTTAAGACCTGTTTTATTCTATATTAGCTTGTTTCATGTTCATTTTATTCCCTTTGCTTTTTATTGACTGTTTCTAAATTACATTTTATAATGTGATTCCGCTGATTTCCTAATGCTCTTAATGTTTTTCATTTTTGTAAAGCCCTTTAATTGCCTTGTGTTGAAAGGTGCTATTTAAATGAACTTGCCTTGCCTTGCCTATCGTTTTGTGTGGATGATGAAAAAGAAAAGTACGAGAGTAGCTTGGGGAAAGTTTAAAAAAGACATCTCTAGCCCACTGAGTCATTCAAAGTCAGAGCAAAGTCAAGCACAGCAGTGTTGCTAAACTGGCAAAGAAATACATCCAGACATGGAAGTGGGTCTGATGCAGGCCAGACTAAACGATCACTGAACGTGGGTGTAGGCTAACTGCCGCTAACTCACCAGGCCGCGGGCCATCTGGTGCTCGCTACTATCTAAGGACCCCCCCCTCCGTGGAGAGGAACGCAGCCTCAGATATTGCCCGCAGCAGCGCGTCCCTGTGCATGTGCTGTAAGTAATGAGTTGGGAAGGGGGGCTTCAGGGGGAGACGCCGATGTGTAATAGGTCACGTTGTTGGCGTCGGCGCAAACAAATATGTCTCATCCCATGGGTGTGTGTTTGAGTGTTGGACCTTAGCAGTCTTGTCAGCTGAAGTGGTGGCGAAGAGGCTCCCGTCTGGAGAGGCGTGGCAGGACAGGATGGCTCCCCGGTGGGCCTCGATGTCCTGCAGCTTCTCCCCCCCCTCTGTGTCCCACATCTTACAGTGAGCAGGAGAAAGAGAGGGGTTATTTTGGATTTATTTTTCTGCAGCTGTAAAATAATATATATACGTGTGTGTATGAGCTTTACCTTCACAGTGCCGTCGTAGGACCAGGACAGCAGTCTGGTGTCGGAGGGAGAGGTGGAGAGCAGAGAGAAACATCTCACCTGCTCCTTGTGACCCTGCAGGACTTTGCACTCTCCAGACTGCCACCTCCACACCTGCAGGAGGAAAAAGATACTTTAAAGAATACTTCTAACACATGGTGCTATTAACTTAAACACATTTTCCCCACTAACTGACTTTCTTGGGTAAATGACCCACAATCCATAGAATTCTAACAGGAGACTCACACGGTCACACTTCTGTCTACCAACTTTTTCCAGATAAGAAAGTCTGTGCTGTCCAGTTCCTCACAGCATTGGTTGTTACCTTTGCATTTTTTTCCCTAGGCCACTTCCTCCGATGATGTATGACATGCATTTACCTCTGTGAGGGCTAAGTTTGAAAATTCACGTTAAAAGTCTCTGTATTGGATAGAACTTTTACAGAATCTAAGTTAGTTATTTTAAGATTAAACTTGTTGTTTTAAAAGTTCATTCGAAGGTGAGAGGTCTGACGACTATTGATTTTAAAAGCTTGGGCTACTGAGGGAACATTTTGGTATTTTGTACAAACCCTCGTCTCATAATTATGTCCATTGGGACTAGTTTCACATTTTGACCTTGGTCATTTTTTTATTTCCCAAAACTTGACTGTGGAGGTCCAAATAAACACAGTTAGAGAATAAATGTTACTTTAAAGCAGTCGCGGAGCCACGGAGCTGCGGAGCCGCGGGGGGAACAGCCGCGGAGCCGCGGATCCTCCGCGGCTGAACTGCGCGGAAAACGCGGATAGCTGAGGCCCTCTGGGCGGGGCCCCCTCGGCAAGGCGGGGCCCCATGCAGCCTGCGTGATTGGCCTGTAGGGAGGGGCGGCCCTGTCTGCCTGCCCTGCTTAGGTGTGCTCCGTGTGCTAATGCATCTGTGAAGTATCTTCACATCTCTGATTTTATGGCAGGCAGGTAAATAAGCAAAAAAAACGGAGCTCAGAGATGGGGGCAGAACACTTCGAATCGCCCTCATCATGTTATCAATCACACCCTTGTGTGCAATTCTGCCTCTTTCCTCCTTCTGAATAGAACCTGTCACCGGCCCAAAGGTTAGAATCCATCACCGGCTGACATCACTGTCACCTGGATCTCTTTACATTCACTCTGCGTCTGCATTAACATCTAAATACACATTCCCGTTTCCTAGCTGATGTCAAACAGCATGAATCTGGATAGCTTCTGAATAAGAGGTGGACGGAGCGAGAATAGAGATGGCAAAGGCATGAATACGGAACAAGTGCTGCAGTGGACAGGTCTGTCAGCAAAAAGGAAAGATGAAGAAGAAGTAGGAGGAGGAGGAGGAGGAGGAGGAGGAGGAGGAGGAGGGGGGAAATGGGCAACAGAGCATGAACAGTGGGGGTTGACAGACCATAACGGCCAGAAACACACACATATGCTCACACACAAACACTGATAGAAGCCGTTGAGAGAGAGGGAGGAAGGAAGGAGAGGAGACCAAAGAGAGGAAGAGGCAGACAGAGCAGTCTAACAGGTAGAGGGAAGTGAAGGCACCACAGAGCACTGAGGGGAGTGATTCAGCAGAGTAGGCAGTTTTACTCAAGGTGAGGAATGAGGATGGACAGGGAGAACAATCGATAGAAGAGAAGAAAAATGGATGCACGTCGAGGGAGGAGGTGAAAGAACATGCCATGAATTAGGGAAGGAAAGAGGGTGAGGGTGATGGATGGGAGGAAACGGAAAAACCAAGAAGGAAGCGAGAGGAAGGAGCAACTGGTGGAGGAGAGGAGTTTAGATTTGATTAGATGTACTCTATTGATCCCAGTTTTTATTTATATTGCCAATTCTGCACAACCCTCTGAATATGTTGCACACAAGCTACCCCTCTAAATATCTGCACTGCTTTCAACTTTTCATAACAATACTACATATGAGTATGTTCTCATAATATACTGTACGTTGTTTTTTGGTATCTACTGTATATATTAAATGTAAATAATTGTAATGTTATAATAGTTTTACTTTTTTTTGTATAACTTTTTTTATTTGTGGTGTTTTTCTTACAATGTATCTTCTTTAACTGTGTGTATGTGTACCGGACTGTAAAATGCTTAAGTTACACAAAAACAGACACCCTACTATTTAATCTTGTTATTTACATTTATTTACAATTTCATGTTCACCAAGCTTCGTTACATGTATCTACTGATATTTAGTTTGTGTGCTGTTATACAGTTTAACCTGTAGATGGTGCTCTACACTTACATTGGCTAGAGGTCTGACGTTCTGTCGATGTTATACTTGTCTTATGGTTCGATTGCCGATTGACGCACGATCATGTAGGCGCTCGATTCGATGTACGATTTGGCCTCAACCCAGGTTAAGAATAGTATTATATGGAGTTTAACGTAATTAACGAGTAATTGGCACAGATCAAAAGGGTTTGACAATGACTCAACTAGGCAATTGTAAAATATTGTAAATTGACTAATAAATACGTAAAGATCTGTCAAAATGGGAAGTACTCAGAAGTGGTGGACTCTTGTTGACTGTTCTTCAGTGTGTGGAATCGCTGCATAACCTTACAAGAACCGTTAGGGAACTGGATAAGCAGAGAATAGGATTTTTTTG